GAGACCGCGGTCGTCGCGAGGCAACTCCTCGAGGCTCCTCGCACCGGCATCCATCGAGTCAGCTCCAGCTAGGTGCATCTAGCGGCGTTATCGAGCGCATACGTCAGCTCGCGACTCGACTCTACTCGGCTCGACTCAACTCGTCGAAGGATGTTGATGCACAACGGTAGTCTCGTGCTCGGGCCGTTGGCTTTCGCCAGCAGAGTCGGGTAGGTAACGCCGTCGTGTTTCCCGTAGCGCTCTCTCCTCATAATCATCCGCCGTTGTGTCGGCGTGCTGAAGCGCGCCGCGGCGGTCGCGGGGGAGTGTGGATATACAAGCAAGCGGTCGGTGCGAGAGAGAGCGAGACGCACGGAAAGTTCGCATGCCGCCGCATGCTGCACGCTCGCTCGCTCGCTCGCGTTTTATCCGGGGGTAAGGTCGCGGAACGGGGAAGTGCTCTCTCTCTCTCTCTCTCTCTCTCTCTCTCTCTCTCTCTCTCTCTCTCTCTCTCTCTCTCTCTCCTCTCTCTCTCTCTATCTCGCGAGGCTCTCTCGCGGTTGGAGGATAGACAGGCTATCAAATCACGCGTGTATTCTAGTGTTGCGCCGTTACTTCGACAGACTCGCTGGTGCCGCAGCGCGGGGCGAGAGGGGGACAGAGAGGGAGGGAGGGGGAGAGGGAAAGACTAATAATCACTCGACATCCCAATTAGTACGCAGATGGATTTAAATCATGGGTGGGGTGCACGCGCACCGATCCGCCGGTATCCGCGGCTTTTCATCGTCATTAATGTCGGCCGAACGCGAAAGCGCGTCATTCTCCGCGCGATGGATGAATGAGGGATCTTTTTGCTCGAATAGCCGCCGCCATTACCACCGCCGCCGCCGGTGACGACAACACCGGCTGCAACAACGAAGATAACAATGCCGGGCGGTAATAATGTATAACATTGCTGGCGCGGACGAGAGCGATCCCGCGATATTATTTGCTCGATATGTAAGACTCGGCTCGTGCGATAATGCGCCGCGTGCGCGCGTGTGTGTGTGTGTGTGTGTGTTTACGTGTGTGTTTGTTGTTGCAGTCCAGCCGTGCGCGGCCGGTATGTCGAAACCTTTCGTGACGTTTACTCTCCTTCGGCGCTCGTATCGACGGCGATCTCATTGTCGAAACGTACAAATTTGTCTCGGCGCGTAAATGGAACCGCCTCCCCGTAGCCCGCGACGTTCGCCGGGTCGATACGGGCGGATTTACGGTTTGTCGTCTTATTCGGGAAAATCGCAATTCTTATCGTCGACGCGGAAGCTATTTGTCCTACAGCCTGCTTTACATTTGCGATGTCGTGACGGGGTAATAATGTCGGTCACGAAGGAAGCGGCAGAAATTACTCTCATAGAGCTTATGGAAATTCCTGGCCACGTTGTAGTTAATCTCCTCTCGTCGGATGGCGATCCGGCGGAGAGAGAGAGAGAGAGAGAGAGAGAGAGACGATCCGCGCTCTGTCCGTGCGATCGAATCGCGAAGAAACTGTTTCGCTCGCCGATTGTTTCGCACCGCCGCCACGGCGGCAATCAAGCGATCGCGCTTTTCTTCTTCGCCGACCTGAAATGTCCCGCAAATTGCGCGCCGATCACTTTTTGCAGAAATCTTTAATTATTAATGACGGGAATTATTAATGACGAGCTAGCTCTCTCACGGATGCAAATTGGATCCTCTCCGGTGGAAAATATTGCAGGAGTCTGTCTCGGTATATTCGGTATCAGTCGTTTTGATAATTAAAGTCCGAATTAAAATGTGAGGCAGATGCAGCGAATTTTCATGTTTAATAAGATCCCCTCGCCCCCCGTTTGAAGCGTTTAATCGCACCTCCGTGATTTTATTCCTACGCGAAGCGGAGACTACTAATTTCGGTAATTCACCGATGAAATATCGATCAGGCCGATGTATTTTTCAACAACAGAGACATGCAGCCGCTGCAGGAGCGATTTCTGGGCTGGAATTTTCCCGCGGAGCACGCGGATCTCGTGCATCCGCATTGGCGCGCCTTCCTCGCGCCCGGAAGACTATGGCACATCGCCCTTGCGCTTATTTACTTCTTGCTCCTGATGCTCTCCCTCGTCGGCAATGGCATCGTCATTTGGATTTTCAGCACGTAAGTCCGCCGTCGTTTGGGAGAATTTAGCGCACTGGATAGCGCGCGCGCGCACGGGCGTGTATATGGATATGGATCGCGGCTTCCAAAGAGTCCAAGTGCTGACAATTAAAAGCGAAAAGAGGAGATCGTGCCGTCTCTGATTGAAAAGCTCGCGTCTAGTCGAGGCGAACGTTCGCGTCGTATCTTTGAAGCGTGCTTCCATTAAAATTTACTCGACGCATCCGGGCGTCCGTGTAATTTTATTAATGATTTCTACGCGAAGAATAAGGCATGATTTCTCTCGAAATCTGCAGCCTCTCCGAGATTTCACGTCCTGAACATTATGTTTAATGTCGACTATCGATCTCGCGCAAATGCTCGTGAAGCCCTCGTTGTCGCCATCTCTATACTCGCGGTAGAACCGTGTCGGCACTCTTGAGAGCTGTGCGACCTCTTAATCAATACCGTAAAAGGTGGGAAATTATATCAATAGGCATTTTTTTGGTTCGGGAGTAAAAAGTTGCCGGGAATCCGAACGTGTTCGGAATTTCGATTGCGGGATTGCGATTGTTTGTAGATCGAAATCCCTGAGGACACCGTCGAACATATTCGTCCTGAACCTGGCCGTGTTCGACCTGCTGATGGCAACGGAGATGCCTATGCTGATCATAAACAGCTTCCTGGAGCGCACGATTGGCTGGGAGACCGGATGCGAAGTGTACGCGGTGCTCGGCGCGATTTCCGGAATGGGCCAGGCGATCACCAACGCGGCGATCGCCTTCGATCGATACAGGTCAGCGGGATGAAGCTTGAGCGATCTCGACGCCGCGAATCGTGAGCTCGAAATTGAATGGCGTATTCTCGCGGACGACGCATGTCGATCGCGGAATTGGGGCGAAAAATTAGGGTCGAGAGTCCTGCAGTTTAATCAACGAGAAGCGCGGGATTTCCCATCGGGCAATCGGCGTCGGCATTGTTCGCTTGACAGCCGGGAGGGGTGAAAGAGATCAGAGGAAGGATCGCAGCACCCCTTGAGCGGCGCTCAAAATGATCAAACACTGTATATCGTGCTTGGTATTGCAGGACGATTAGCTGTCCTATTGACGGTAGACTCAACGTCAAGCAAGCTATAGTGATGGTTTTGCTCACGTGGTTTTGGGCATTGCCCTTCTCGATACTACCGATGACGGGGTTGTGGGGTCGATACGTGGCAGGTAAGCAGGTACCTTCCGAACCCTCCATCGTCCCGTGGAAAAATGTTCACTTTTCCAGCATTTGATTTCCATATTTAAATTTCGAAGAATCGAGTTTTACATCACCGTCCGTCGCTTCACCCGCATCGAGAATTACTCGTCCGAAATTAGAATACGGTGTCTTCAGGAATAATTTTATCTCATTCTCTCTCTCTCATTCTCTCTCTCTCTCTCTCTCTCTCTCTCTCTCCGCGAACGGAAAAAGAGCAGAACATTCTCGTCCGGGAAAAATAGCCGATGGGTCGTATAATTTGCAGAGGGTTTCCTCACCACGTGCAGCTTCGACTACCTCACAGACGACGAAGACACGCGCACGTTCGTGATAACGATATTCTTTTGGGCCTACGTTCTGCCGATGTTGCTGATCGTGTACTTCTACTCCCAACTGCTGAAATCTATTCGTAATCACGAGAAAATGCTGCGCGACCAAGTAAGCGGAAAAATTGTGCGGTTGGTCGGTCTCGCGCTGGCGAGGGAATTGGATTTTCACGACGCGCGTGTTTGTATGCATAGGCGAAGAAGATGAACGTCAAGTCGCTCGTGTCGAACCAGGACAAAGAGAGAAGCGTCGAGATGAGAATCGCGAAAGCCGCTTTCACGATCTTCTTCCTCTTTGTCCTTGCATGGACGCCGTACGCGGTGGTCGCCTTAACGGGAGCCTACGGAAATCGGTAACTCTCGCTCGATTTCCCCTTCCAATAGATCCCAAAACGCCCTTCTCTTTTATGGCGATACATTTTCGGTATGTTGCAGCGAAGCGCTCACTCCCTTGTCGACAATGTTGCCGGCCATTTTCGCCAAGACGGTCTCGTGTATCGATCCATGGATATACGCGATCAACCACCCTAGGTAACACACGGGGTAGACGGGGTAGTTGGGGTAAAACGTCCAGTAATCGGCGCTTTTGCGCGGCTCCCATCAGTTATTTAAGTGTACGGGGATTTAAAAGAAATACATAATTAATAGATCCCCCCCGAGTATCGATCCCAATATCAATTTGAGCAAATTCGCGCAAGGGTGCCTAAAACCGACCGATTTTGCATTTTCCGGTCTGTCGAAGTATTTACATAGCTCGTAGTTTCTATAGCTAGTTGGGATCGGACAGACGCTCGTAGCTTGTAGGGTAGTCGAGGAGAATTAATGAACGACTCCGCCGCTTGCAAAAATGCCCCTCTTATGGCGGTCGATTTTTTAATTCGGTAACCCGGCGGTTCAGGTATCGACAAGAGTTGGAGAAGCGCTGTAAGTGGCTGGGAATTCGGGAATCAGCGGCCGATGACAACGTGTCGGCGCAGACCGAGAAATCTACCACAGAGGAGTCGTAATCTCGCCGATGGTGGACGTCATCGGTGTCGATTGTCGAGAGGACGCCGATCGATCGTGTCGCATTGTCACCACCAATGCAATCTTGACCGGTCGCCTAGATATACGCATATATATATATATATGTATCTTTTATTCTCTTCCTCTCTCCCACCTTTCCTTTTTCCCTGAGATGCATCTCACTCGTGGATACGATTGGCCGAGAACTCTGTCCGATTGCAACGAGAATCTTTAATAAAAGAAGACTGGGCGCTGTTTAACTCATATACGTCGAGAGATACTGTATAAATATAATCAGAGCATATATGAAAGTGGTTATTTGGCTTTTCACATCCATGCGAATCCCCCCGCAATAATAAATTCAGCCTTGATGCGTTTCAAATTTCCCCTCGATTACTCATCGACGCTTTCGTCGGGCTTTCCGCGGCTTGTTAGAGATGGCGATGCGCGAAGGTCCGTGTTGTGCTGCCATCCCGCCAGCGCAAGCTTCCATCGACCTCGAATTAAAAATCTCAAGGTGCGACTTGATTGCCCGACTGCACTGTGTTTATTGACGCAACGATGCAAAATATTCGCACAAACAAGATCGATGATCGCGGTCCTTGCCAAATGTGGAATGGGAAAGTGGATTGTGTTTTACCGTGTATTTTCTTTTGTCATTCTTCACAAGCAATCTTCTTTTTCTTTTTTGCCTCTCTCGCATATATATAGAGCGGCCAAACATTAGTACGCGATGCTTTAGCTGCGCAGTTTGGAACTTGATTAGAATTGGGAATTTCAACGTGGAAACAGTCAGTCACGATAGTTTTGGGATTATGAGCGATTAAAATTGGTTCGCGATTTCGCGAGTTCGCGTGATTGCCTCCTTTATTTTCATGGGTAAATCAATACGATTCACGACGATGTATTCGGTCGCTTTATACGACTCTCTGCAAGTATTGAACATTCGACACCCGATATTTCTGTCGTCTGCTAATTGACGGCTTTCGAAATAACTCTGCGCGAGAACATGTCAGCTCCGAGGAAAAAAAAATCCCAGATACGATTCGATAGAGATTGATAGAGAGCTCGCGAATAGGACAGTTAACCGCCATAGCTCCTCCTCGACGACGAATTTCGGGGAGCGAGTCGAGGGTCACGAATCAGTCGTTTGAGGTAGTGTAGATTTTCTATCCGTCTGCGGCGAGAGGCGACTTATCTACTGGGCGAATAGAGTGGATAGAGATCTCTTTCTGTCCTCCGAGAGAGAGTGGAGAAACATTGTCTTATCTCGGAACGAGGTCACGTGCCACCCGAAGCGCGGAAGAAGCCCCGGATAGAAAAGAAAGTCGGCGAGAAGAGGCGAAGACGCGAAGTAGGGATAAGAACGAGGGGGGAGGGGGGGAAAAAAGGCGAGCAGGGCGAAGACAGCTCCGAAGAATACCACGGCACGTTCGCGTTTATGTGTTATCTTTTAGTCCGGGGAAAAATATTGTCCTACAAATCAACTCCGGCTGAGAAATTGCTCGGCCGTGAGGGGACCGTGAGTTCTGCTAGTCATTGATCGTCCAACTTTCGCCTTTTCCTCATCCTCCTCCTCCTCCTCCTCCTCCTTCTCCTTCTCCTTCTCCTTCTCCTTCTCTTTCTCCTTCTCCTCTATCTCCTCCCGACAACTCCCGTGGCAATCGAATTAGTTTCTTAATGATAAACTCGATGGCCGATATATACGGTAGTTTCGCGCGATCTTTGCCCGTACACCTTCGCAGCAATTCGAGCATCGCGTTCGCCCTCTCGAAAGTTTTTTACTACGCCCGCCGAGCGTAAAAATTCGCGAGTGATGCGCGCGCGCCTCTTTTTATGCGCTAACGTCTTTTGTATTATAGCGTGACTGACGAGAGACGTATCGTTTTTTCCTTCATCCCTTCGTCTTCCTTTTATATTTTACGAGAGAGAGAGAGAGAGAGAGAGAGAGAGAGACAGCCTTTGGACGCGCGCTTGTTACAGAAAATTGAGAGGATCTCCTTACTCTCTCGTTATCTCGATCCCCTTAACTCGCTCCGTAGCGTCTTTCCGTCCTCCGTTGCGGGAATGATATTCTATATGAATCCGCGGAGAAAATCTCGATGCTCCACGACGGCGTTTCACGTGCGCCGCGAAACATGTCCCCGGGATATATCTCGTTGAAAGCGTCGCGTTGCACCGACGCGTGTGTTTGTTATCCAGCTTCAGTCGTCTTTTGCTCGCGCTTCTCTCCCGTGTATCGCCACGCGGAGCTCCGCTTGGCGATATTGATTAATCGTCGCCCACACTCTACGGCACGGCGCCGAAATTATTTGACAGCGACGTGCGTCTCTGCGAAAGCTCGCAGCTCATCACGAGTGCGCTGCAATAACACGTCACCTTCGATCGTCTTTCGATGTCGCGGGGACTTGCCGGCGCGTTTGTAGCGCGCCGCCGATATCGCTCGTCGAGTGCAACGCCGGAAAGTGCTTGTAGCGAGAGAGAGAGAAAGAGAGAGAGAGAGAGTCGCTTTTTTCGTTTAAACGTCCAACTCCGAGAATAGCAAAATGCCGATGGGCTGCGAAAGCGCGCGCGAGCACTCGGCTCGCGATCTCCGTTTCAGCGAGGCGTATTTTTTCTCGCGATTGTCCGCGAGACGATCGCGAGAGGAACAGAGGTAATGAATAACGCGCGACAGCATGCTAACTTACTGTCTAACTTTCTTGCTCGCAAGAAACATTGCTCCATGAATACATATATACGCGTACATGTACATGTCTCTCTTCCCCTCTCTCCTTCCTCTCTCTCTCTCTCTCTCTCTCTCTCTCTCCCCCTCTCTCTCCCTCCCCCCTCTCTCTCTCTCTCTCTGTACCTATGCGGCAGGAGGGGAGGGGACGGTCGAGACTCGGTCTCGTGAAATATGTACAGCCACCGAAGCGCATGGAGAAGTTTGGAATCTGACGGACAGAGCTGGAAAGAATCGCAATCGCGCTCCACCGCGAGCGAAGACGTCGCGCCGGAGTAATATTTTTATTCGCCAAAGAGCCCTCCGTCGTCGTACTCGTTCCCGGGACTTTGGCCGCGCGACCTACGAAGCTTCTACGGAAGATTAAGAAGAAGGCGGTGCGCAGCAGCAGCAGCAGCAGCAGCAGCATCCAGCATCCTTTGCCCGAGGCCGGCCGTTGTTGCGCGCGTCCGCCGGCGACGTTCGGCCTTCCGACGAAATAATTAGCGCGATTCCGCGCCAGCGACGCGGCTAGCGAGCGCGAAAGAGCGCTAATTGGACACAGCGCGATTTCGGTAAGCGGAAAGCCCGGTCAACCGGGCTCTCCGTCGATAATTGTTTCCATCGGCCGCTATCCTAATCCATCAGGGAAGACAAGGTGATTACGTGGCCGGCGCGCGTTCGCCCCGGTCGAGAAAGTTTAGTCCGCCCGGCCGAACGGCCCCGGTGAGTCGTGAACTCGGAATGCGGCTCGTTGGACAGTAGGCGGCCAGTTCGCGGAGACAGTCCGGGCAGTTCGGTTAATATGCAGTTAGTACGTCATTTGTTTCTCGCCGCCGGGGAGGGCTTATCATAATCTTTGACATCACGGGACACCCCCTCGACCCCGGATCTCCGGCTGTTATCGCGGTGGCCGATAAGGGCGCGCATGGCCGGCGGGGAGCTGGTGTCCGGTCGATTTCTCGGGGATCATGGAGGCTCGAGGACTCGACGGCGCGCAACTCTCTCTCGGCGGCAGCCGCTCTCTCTCTCTCTCTCTCTCTCTCTCTCTCTCTCTCTCTCTCTCTTTCTCGCTCGGCAGCGGCCGCGTTTTACATCGCGACGGAGAGAAGAATAAATCCGGCGTCGCGTGCGCGCTGGATATTACAAAATGCTGGAAATGGCGGGGCGCATCGGGACGAATTTATTCGCGCCTCGAGGGCGCCCGGAGAGTCTCACCGTAGGGAAAAGCTTTCGAGAGCGTCGAGCTAACGCGGTTAAGAGGGAAGTTCGCCCGATCACGCGCCGAACAAACGCCGCGCCGCGACTTTTGCCCGTTCCCACGTCGCCGCGTCCCGCCTCCGCTGGTGGCTTTTCTTTTTTTTTTCCCCTCTCTCTTTTCTCTCCTTTCTTTTTCTCACGGAAACGCCCGCTCGTCGTTGCCGCGACACCGGCGCAGTCTACCGGGAAATATATATGCGGGCCATTGAATGACAGGATTTCCAATCAGTGGAAATCCCATCGTGCTCAAGGCGGCCCTCGGCAGCAACCGTCGAGCGTCGTCGTCACCCCACGATATTCCGGGCATTCCTTTTTCGTCTCCCGGTGCTTTCGACTTACGTACAATCAAAGTTTTCTGCGCCAAGTCTGTGCAACGACGGCGCGAAGGCAGTCGGCGTCGACGAGCGAACGAGTGAACGAAGGCGGAGAGAGATGAGAGCGAAGAAGAGCCGGGAGAAAGATGGATCTAGGCGGGAGGGGGGAAGTGAGAAAGCAAAGAGATAGGGACGAGAAAAAAGAGAGAGAGCAAAGAAGGAGAGAGAGAGAGAGAGAGAGAGAGAGAGAGAGAGAGAGAGAAAAAGAAGGGGCGGGAGAGCACGGGGCTATAGGGAAGGTTCGGCACAGGACGAGGACTCAAGAGTCGAGGAAATCCTTGATTAGATGTTCGCGTCAAAGGAACTCTTCGCTCGCCGAGAGTCGAAGAAAGGAGAAGAAAAGAGCGAGGTAAAGAAAGGCCGCCGCGCTGCGTCGCGTCGCGTCGCAGCCCGGTCTGGAAGGCGAATTAAAAATAGTTTCTGACTATGAACGTCGCGGGATCGATTGCCATTCTATCTGTCGCGTCCGTGAGAACGAGGGCGAGAGAGAGAGAGAGAGAGAGAGAGAGAGAGAGAGAGAGAGAGAGAGTGAGAGAGAGAGAGAGAGTGAGAGAGGAGAGGGAAAGGCGGGTAGATAGAGAAAGAGGTAGGGGAGAAAAGAAGGACGAGTCGAAAAGGGCCGCGCCTTTCGAAAGCGGAATGGAATCATCTAACTCCCGTTCAAGATACGTCCCGTTCCGTCCTATTTCCTGAGGTCGCGCCGAGCGACGGCCAGTTATGGATGTTGAAAATTCAATTACGCGGGATTTATGGCTGCCGGCGCTGGGCATATTTATTATCGCACTATCCCCTTCTGCAACTTCCGTTATCCTCCGCGCGCACCCGTGCACCCGTCGCCGTTCCCGACCGATGACGTCCGTTTCCCATGTGACGCTGTGATGATTAAATGGAAATTCGTCCCCGCGACGCCGGATAATCGACGATCGATTCTCGTTAAAACCGGCGAGAAAGAAGGGCAGAAAGAAAGGGAGAG